TGGCCTCTGTTTTCCAAAGTGCACACTGTGATGTTTATGCCCTCTTGCTCAGTTGTGCACCATGTCCTCCCAATTCTCTTGCTATTCTGGTTAGAGCCAGTTTGTACCGTTCTGTGATGCGTGTAGTGCACACTGTTTTTAGCAATATCTCTCATGGCTTTATTGCTTAGAACAAAGATGCTGTGTTGATTTTCAGAAGTTCTCCTTCTTCCATTTTAGGAGTGCAATCAAACCTGCAAAGCCAGCTTCTCCAGGTGCTCAAAGAGCTGAATTTATTGCTGTGATAGAATGATTGAATTCATGATTTAACTAGCATTAGGCCTACATTGTGTGCTGAAAAACAGTGGCAATATTTGCTGTGTAAGGTGTTGATATGCCATTAAAAATCACGTATGATACGTGTATGTTATTGTATTAAACATGCTTTGTCGTAGATAAAAACAAATGTCCTTTTATTGAAAAAGACAAAAAGAAACAAAAAATTACAATTTCTTGGTGAATCAAGCTTTTTGGTGTACACTGTCACACCACGAGCTCAGTTGTTGTTTGTGAAATCTAGTAAGTAAGCAGATTTTTTTTTCTAATAAAGCTAATTTATCTTCTCATCTAATGCTAATCTTTTTTGTGTGAATTCTAATAACATAATTCATTATTTTCAGGCAGTAATATTCAGATATTTAAAGCAAAGTTCAAAACTATGTTGCATCCATTCATTTTTTTAATTGGTAATCCAGCTGGAGGCTGTGGAGTGGCTGGAGCTGTTATAGGGCCAAAGGTGGGGAACATTTTGGACAGGCTGCTAGTCTGTCACAGGGTAAGCACAAGGACGGGGAACCACACACTCACATCTAAACCTGTGGCAAATTTGCAATCACCTATTCACCTAACAAGCAAGTCTTTGAACTGTGGGAATACCTTGGAAAGAATCCACACAGGCGCAGGGAGAACATGCAAACTCCAAACAGAATGGTCCCAGCTCGGCACCAGAACCTTTCCTTTACTGTGAGACTAGCCACTGCACCACTATTTAAAACAGTCTTTAAGCGTGACAAAACAGTCCTGCAAAACAAAACAAAATTCAGTGTTGTTCTCTCGTTGTGTAATTTTACTGATTTAAAAGATAAGAACAGGCTCTGATAGCCTGGTGAAACCAAGTGTAACCAATTAGCATGTTGTTGCTGCTATATAGTGCTGCAGGGATGACCAAGCAGAACTGAAGTGGTACGAGCTTGAAGTCTGGTCTCACAAGACTGGGCATGGCCAAGTACAGACTTGACTCCACAAATACCCTGCATGTTCCTCTTTTCATTTGGTGTATGTATTATGGCCATGCATAATGTTATGCATTCTGAGCTTGCCATCACGCTCCAAAGTCGCACATAACAGCACAGACTTCAGCTGCCTGAGGGACATTAAAACAAGCTGCTCTCCTGCCAGATAGCTTCACTGACTGACTGACTGACTCTAGTTGTCTGTCTGACTGCCAGCTAAACGGAAGGTCACTGATCTACCATGCATCTCAACGGGCTTTCCTGCCCAGCCAGCCTGAATAATTTATATGGCAGATTTTTAGAAGATCTGAGGGAATGGCCACGTGAAATTACCTTGCATTGATTCTGTAAATTGAGAGAAGGAGAGAGAGAGATGAATAGAAAGCAACAGATCAAGGAGGACTGCGAGATGAGTAGTCCTGGGAGCAGGTTCATGTGTTTACTGGCTTGATTCACATGTCAATAAAAACTTGATTACCGGTTTTGATAAATTATACAGATACCGTCATTCTGATTTGTTTTTGCAGCTCCTTTATTGTTATTGCTCAAAGCCAGCCTTCTTGAATAATTTTCAAGCAATTTTCATCAAAAAAGAGTCTTTATTTTGTTAACAAAGTGTTAAAAGGTTTTGCAACTTCTTTATGAAGTGCAGGATTATGAGTTATATAAAGTTAATAATTTGGTGTCTGGTTGCTAAGGGAAAAGGGCTATATTCAGTATGGGAGCAGCTTCTCCCAAGTCAATCTTGCAGATCTCTTTGAGGTGAAATTTGGAGGTTTTCACTTGAGCTTTGGTGTACAGAAGCGAAATTTATGAGAGCTTCCCCCCCATATTATTCTAGACTAATCATATTATCTATATACTTGACCCACTGTTAACCCCCTTCCCTCTACACATCTCCCGCATGCGGTTAAATCCAATTTTGGTTTTAACATCAGGCTTCCCCATAACAGAAACAAACACCGCCTAAGTTTATTGCATGTTTTCTCACATCGTAACTTTCCTTGAAAAGGTCACAGGTGCTGGTTAGAATTCAGGAGGAGCAAGTTTAATTAGACGCTAATCAAGTTCTTTTAAAGGGATTCTCTGAATTTTGGCACACAGCTGGTGTGTAAACTGACCTGCACCATCACAAGACAGCAGTTTATAATCCTGTGACCTGTGTGTGTGAAAGCTGACCTTGAGACAGCAAATCCATTCAAGCCAATTGTTTCTGTGAGTTACGCAGCTTGAATCGAGTTACTTCAAGCTAACACGGTTGAATGGTTGAACGAAAAACTTTTGTTTCTCCTGTGTTTTTTCCAGGAATATTCTTCACTTCTAGTTGTCTTTATAGCGTGATGCAATTGAATTCAATTTTATTTATCTAGCCCCAAATAACAACAACAAACACCTCAAGGCATTATAGATTTATACAGTGACTATATATCATTTGCTAACATAACCAGCTTATAATGACAGCCTGAAAGAGTCATGTAAAGATGTGTATCGATACTGCCTTTTAATGCTTTTCCTTGCCACTCTTGATCCTGACTAGATAAAGAATAGTCAAATTGTTTACATTAAAAAAAACCTGAAAATTCGATTTTATAATTGTTCTATAGTAACAAAGCCATTCTGAGTGTGAACATGCCACATTGAAACTCATGAAATACATATCCTAGGCATCCTAAGCTCTTAGCTCAGGAACAGAGGTGGCTTGAATAAGGAACACATGAAACTAATCATATGTAGTATGTGTTTGTATGTAGAAGTAGTAATAAAGGGCATATTAAATTTTGGGCTGATATAAACAACAAAAATTCAAGGCTGACCTTTAATGACTTTCATCCTTAGATATATGCTAAAGTAAATTTTAGCATTAATACAAACCTGGATTCTGCAACTGCCCACAGACCATGTTCAGAGTAACATCTTTCAAGTGTAGAAAAAGTCTAATTACAGTAAATATTGGCTTCACCTGTGTTAGCTGTGTGAGTAGAGAACAGTGCATGTGATGATGTACTTTTTTTTTACCCTGTTTGTGAGCTTTAGCCGTGAAATCAGTCCCATTCCCCACATGCTGACCTCCAAGTGAAAATACCCCCCAGCCCACTGCTGCATCTACCCAACACTTTAAAGGAGTTTTCATATCTCTGTGTTATCCTGCCTTGTTCCCTGATGACCACACTAAGGGAAGGGGCAGGGAACATAGTGAAAGTGGCTACTGGAATCTTTTGCACAACTTGGCGGTCACAAGAGCATTATAAATCTTTAATGTGAGATGTTAGAGCGCCAAGGAGAGGAAATGTGCTGAAAACATGATTATGGACTCATGGGGAGGAAGAAACCGCTGGCTAGGAGAGAAACAGATAGAGATATCAAGCAAGGGAGCAAGGATAAAAGAATTTTGAAGGGCAAAAGAGGTAAAGAGGGATAACATTTTTTTTTTTTGCAAAGTTTGGTCTGCTTATAGCAAAAACATTATTGCACTGCTTTACCGAGTTGTGATCAGAACTTCTCACAGAGCCATTTAAGTATGACAGGAAACCCAGGAAAAGGATTTCAAAATGACGTCAAGAGCTTTCCTTGTGTTTAGGAAGAGCAAAGTTGATTGCAATGACGTGTTCTCCTTTGAAGGTGCAACAGTTTCACTTGCAGAGAGTGAAGTGAGCTACAACCCGCATGATCTGACAGTGGGGTAAGCAAAAATATGCTAAACTAGCACATCTATCTAACCATTACAAAGAAAAAATAATCAGCCACAAGAGGCTTAAACCTCTGTTTGGAATTTGCCTTTCAGGTCACCTCAGTCTAGATGTTATCTTATAGGAGAGAAAGGCGATTTTGTAGGCCCTTCAGGGAGGAGAGAGCTCAGTAGGTAGAGCGTTTGCCCCATGATCGGAAGGTCGGGGGTTCAAATCCACTGAACAACTACCCTGAGGTACCCCTGAGCAAGGTACCCTCCCTACACACTGCTCCCTTCGGTTTGGATTGGTAGCTACCCACTGCTTCACTGAGTGAATGGGTTAAATGCAGAGAGTAATTTCAGTACAGGAAATTAATAAAGTATACAAAAAGTAAGTGACCGTCTGATTCATATTTGTTTAGTTTACAAAATAAAACCTAAGAAAAGATATTATTTCAAAAGGCGCTGTCTCCATGCTGCTTCTGCTTTAAGTAGGTCACAGCAACAAATAATACTTCATTTGGATCTTGTCTTATGTGGTCTAATCAGAGACGTCAAGCGTGCACTGTGCGCCTCCGTTGTGAAGTACAATCCACCAGTCAAACCTGTTTCGTGTGAACTTGAGCTGGAAATTGATTGACTGCCTCACTAATCCAAATCATGCCCGCTCACCTTGAAACAAGTCTAATAACGCAGGTGCATTTTGTCTTCTGAACTTGCAGCAAAAAGGTGATTGTGTTTTTTCTCTAAAATGCCAAATTTTCCAGAGTCTCTCATTCTGCTCAGTCACTATGCAGGGTGGGCATGTGCTGATTGGCGCCACTGTTCTAATAACAAACTTGCTGCATTCCCAGTTTGATTTCCGACATATAATTTAGCTAATAACAGAAGCTGCTACTCCATTAACATGTTTTATTTATTAGTCATGTTTCCTTGCTTTTGCAGTCTAACCAGACAGACATCAACTCTAAATCATTAGACTAATGAGACAATCCAGTCTTGTCAAAACAACACATTCAAGTCTCTTCCTCTGTCTCGTTCCTCTTCCTTTTTTGTCACAGCTTTGATATCAGCCGGCTGCTGCACCAACAACTGTAGAAATGTCAAGCTATGGGACAGGTAAGAATCCCTCTCCACCTTGTTTCTTTTTCATAAACTTTTTTTTGTGTGCGTTAATTAGAATCTCTGAAAGAAGAAGAACAGCTAATGAAGGTCATTGTCTCTTCTTTCCACAAGGGCCCATAATCCTGTAATTAGCTCCTATTATTCTATTTTGCCATACAGTGTGCTGCTTCCTTTAGCTTGCGTCTTGAAACCTATTTAGTCGGATGGAGGGATTTACATTAGAAGGATTTACATGAATAAATAATGGACTCTTTCAGTCAGGAGTGTTTGAAATACATACAAAACTATTTGGACTTTATTCTCTTGCTAATCAGTAGGTAATCTGGATCTGAACCCGATCACAACAGATCCTGTGTCATTGCAGGGTCATTCCGTGACTTAGTCTGGTGCACTCCCTCCAGATGAGTAATGTGTTGGCATGCTTGATCTAGCCCAGGTGTAATCACAGTGGGTTTGCTGTGGGACTACAGAGTTAGAGGTGACCCTCTTCTGTCCCCGTATGCCATCCTACATCTTCAATCAGGCCCAGCGGGAGGCCGAGATGGTTGTGTTAATATTTAATGACCGCGAGACAAGACGTACCTCCCCCTAGAGGACAGTTGGGGCCCCCCTTGGCCACCTTTGTCATTGTTTAGTACACCAACACACACAAACTGTAACTACAAGCCACATGCGTGCTTATTCCCCCACACACGAACTTCTCTAACATGCACATTAAGGACTGTTTGTCCTTTTTCTTTGCATTCGTTTTTTTCAATCCATCACCTTCTACAAAAACATCCGTGACTCAAGTGAAGAAAAGAATAAAGTGTACTTTTTGTCAGAAGATGATTTGCAAGCTCAGAAAAGGCAACAAGGATGTGCTAAGAATGCGGACTGCAGTCAGGCCTTCTGGTCATCCCTTGGCTCTCCACTGAGGTGGAGACAGACGCAGGCAGGAACAAAGGAATCTGTCACTGATAAGTAACACAAAAACCTGCAGAGATGAACATCTTACTCGCTCAAACTCTCTCTCTTGCTTGCTCTCTGTCCCCCTCTCTCTCTTTCATTCGCTCCCCTCAACAGACTAACAGCTAATAGCTATTTATTTATCCATCTTTTTTTGAGAACATGCAAAGAATAAATGGCTTTGAGAATCAGGGCTCAAATTCCTTTGTTGAAAGCTCACTCACATTTACAACTGTCGACATTGCAAACTATTGTAAGAAAAGACTGCCTTCAAGGTTAAACAGTGGAAATAAGAAGCTGGTGACCTGTACTTGTCCAGCAACAAAATACAGGCAATCGGGCCTTTTTCCACACAACAAATATTGACAGGAAACAAGAGTGTGCGTAAAATGTGTGACGATTTTATTCCATTTAACTCTGTCATGTTCATTCTTGCTCACTGTCATGGCTTACTGGGACTCTTAGATAGAACTGAACCAGCATTATCATTGTTCGAAACATCTGTTTTTCCTAACATAACAAGGAAAACTGCAAATATAGAAATAATTAACATAGCAATATATCTGTTACAGCTCCTATTTATCATTTAAAGCCGTATATATATTTTTAAATAATGTCCTGTTCCGTCACCTGCACACTGAATAGGATTTTGAATTACACATGCTGTAACGCCCAAGCTTGAGATTAGTGAAACACTATCCCATACCACTTGAAAAATCCCTTCTTCTCAGGCAAATGAATGTGTTGCAGTACAGTGAATAAGAAGGATGTTATGTTTGCTGTTTGTTTTTGTTTTTTTTAATATTTATGGATTTATATATTAAAGTCAATGTAAAAAAAACAACTTTATTTATCCCCAAGGGGCAATTAAGATAGATGATACCTTGCCGACCATACATACAATACACAAACATCACATTGGGGAGACAGGTCAGGCTATGTAGCACTGGCCGGTTGACCACACGAGCAGTGACCCGAACTGAAACCACAGAAAATGCACAACATGAGGAAAGACGAGGAGAAAAAAAGAACTCCCCCCAAAATAAACTACAAGATTTTGAGAACTTCCAAAATATAAGATACAAAACAGCTAGGACAAGCTACAAAAACACTGCAGACACTTCTGCCCAAACAAACTGGTATACAGTGCGTATATATACTTAGCCCTTAGCGCTCAGGTTTATCAGATTGGTCTGGAATGAAAAATGCCTTCCAAAATCAATCCGGTTGGTTTTTGACATTTGCTTAGGTGTTTCTGTTATTGTGTTTGAGATTTAAAAAGTTTAAAAAGATTTAAAAAGTTAAGATATTCAATAATAAGCTATTACAAAAAAAGAACTCTTGAAATGAAGAGTCTCACAACCTAAGCATACCCCAGTCACAGCGAGCACAGTCACCCCTGTGACCTCACACTCACTGATTTCAGATATTTTCCCAAACACACATCATTGTTTCAGTTCGTTTTTATTTGTTCTAAAATGTCGCTCAGTTTGATAAAATGTATGTTTTCAGACCTGCTTTTAGTTTTTAGTTAACTGCAATGGCATGTCTGTCTTTTCCTGTGCAGCTTTGACGCTTCCTCTTGACCCCAACTTGGCGACCCACGCCTCTCAAAGGGAGGACGGGTTGCAGTGAGACAGCCCTCCTGCATCTCAGGCCTTGAGGGACACAAGCACCCCTGGATGCCACCTTTCACAGCTCCGGATGGTCTGTAGTCCACGGCCTCATCCATTTGCTACAGCCGTTAAACAGCCTGCCTCCATGTTTTCATTTCTACATATCGAGAGTTTGAGCAGACAGGGGTGGGAGTTTTTTCTTTTTTTCTTGAATGATATCAGTTTAGTTGGTAAAAACTTGTGATGACTGCTACACCTAAATGGAAATCTCTCCCGGCCAACCGAGACATGGCTACCTCCTGGAGAGCACCCAGAGAGAAAGTGAGAGAGGCTGTGGATTGGTGTGAGTAGATGAAAAGGACTTTGCACTGTATGTGCTGCTACTCTCTGTTTACAAATGCAGATCACTGGTGGAGAAGCACATAAACCTTTCTATATCCTGCTGTTAAAAAACTTATTTTCCTACACTCTCCCATTTTTTTCTGCTCCTGCCTCCCCCCGCTGTCATCGTTAGAAGTGATCTTCAGTATGTGTAATGAGACTGGTGTAATCTAATGCTCTGTCTCTCAATCTACAAATCCAGATGATCACATGATTACCATCGTCTCCTCTCTCATTTATACTAGAAATTCAGAACTCTTTCAGCCATTTCAACTGACGGTAAAAATAAGACAAAATTGTATATGTCAAAGATGTTCTAGCAAAGAAAAAAAACACATCCTCTTCCTGTGTCTTAAACCAAGATGGTCAACATTACTAGCTGCTGACAGATGTTCTTATTCTATGAGATGCAATGTTCAGGTGTAATTTTTCTTTTTGTATTATCTTCTTTGCTCCCTCAAAGCGCCTATATTTAAGCTGGGGAGAAGATTATACATTTCTCCATGTTGTTTTTTTTTACAAGTCCAAGTAAAAAGTAGATTATTGGATTAGTTTTCTATATATCTATATATATAAATACTATATGACTATTATTTTTGACTTACTGGTATTAGAACTATTATATGAAAATGCATATGATACAGTATATCAAATAATAAATAGACTTCTTTATCTAAAAGTGGATTGTTGGTTCGATTTTTATTTGTGTGCTGATTGCGAGAGTGAGCTTTGCAGTTAAACGTCAGGTTGGAGTATAAGTTGTTTCACAGCTGCTGTAAATCAAAAGTTAACCCTTTAAACCCTAACCCGTCACCGGTGACAGTTAACATTTTTAGCAAGGGTGGGCAACTCCAGGCCTCGAGGGCCGGTGTCCTGCAGGTTTTAGATCTCACCCTGGGTCAACACACCTGAATCAAATGATTAGTTCATTACCAGGCCTCTGGAGAACTTCAAGACATGTTGAGGAGGCAATTTAGCCATTTAAATCAGATGTGTTGGATCAAGGTCACATCTAAAACCTGCAGGACACTGGCCCTCGAGGCCTGGAGTTGCCTTCCCCTGGTTTAAAGGGTAAATTAGGTCAGGTTTTAAAGGGTTAAATGGAAAAAATCATTCATCAACATAAATATAAGTTTAAATTAATCAGTCGCTTGCAATACTATGAGCAGCTGCAAGAAATCACATGTTAAACATGATAACCCGAAATGTAGCCACATCTCATTCAGTCAGATGGTAGACAATAGTGTAAAAATGGAAACAATTTCCTATTGAATCACAGTTGCAGTTTGCTCTTCCTTCCTCTGCAGCTATAACCTTTCCTCATATCCTGCAACATCTGCTACACTGCTAAGAATTTCTGTTATAGCTGTGTGCTGGTCAGTCTTTACAGTAAGGGTACGAGTGACACACCAGTGTCCGTGACACTCAGGTAAAAAAAAACCTTGGTTTTAAATAATTATGTAAGTATTTAATACTGAGTTGCAAATAAATTGTCTAAAAGACAGCTGGGCATTTTCGCGAACGTCAGCTTAACAGAAGAAAGCAATGTGCTCGTTAGGTGCTACACTCAATAGTGCACTGTTCCATATTTGGGGACAGTATGAGAACAAGACAGTATGGGCAAAAGACAGAATGACTGGGATTATCACAGAAAAAATAGATGGTCTGTGTTCATTGTAATAAAGGAAAATGTCAGCATTTGCAGCACTGTCGTTCACTGTTTTAATGTATCCGTGATAGAGTAAGGACAAGAAGGCTCTTAGGCACAGGGGAATAACTTCTTCCGTCTCTGGCTACACAGACAAAGTATTACCAGACTTCTTATTTGATATTAGGCTTGGAGTTATGTATCCAAGTCAAGGTCAAAAAAGGTCAGGTACGGGTATAAATACAGTTGTATTAGACTCTCACTGGGTTGAGCTATTAACAACACTAATAGTGAAAATAATTGACGTTGATCTGGTTTGATATGATTGCTCAGAGTCATTAGGGTTTACTAATATGTCCCAGAAAATCTCTTTAATGAGGGTCTGTCTTTAAATCACATATCTTTACACTGCACATATGGGAAGTCCTGCTAAGGAGATGGAAGGATCTATAACCTCTGATGGAACTGAGTGATTGCCTTATGTAGTAAGTGTTAAAGTGAAAAGGAAAAACATACGATGCAAACAAACAAATACATCAACGTGTGCACATCCTGTCTTGGTATGTTGTGTGTGTCTGTGTTAATTTATAAAGGGAAGTGTGTATGTGTGTGTGTGTGTGTTGTTCCAAATACAGTCATCTATGAGGTGTGTGCATTTCAGCGAGCCAGTCAGCAGCAGGTTGATTAGACACACCCATGCCTGTTCGTCCAGTGTGCGAGCTTTTATTGATTTGTGTGCATCTGTGTATGTGTTCCTATTTCATGATATAAAGCTGCAGGTTATGTGTTTGCGTAAGTGTGTGGGTGAGAGCATGCAGCGCCCTGATCTGCTCTGCTGCATTGCAGCACGTCCTGCCCAACCCGAGGTCGCCGTCGTCCTCCGCCAGGGCATTCTTCCAAGGTCGCAGCAGGTCAATCCTCCCCATCTGCATACCCAGCCACTGCAAGGGTAAATCTATAAACACCACACCAAATCTGTCAGCTGTTAGAGCAATGAGACACCAGTAAGAACTAACACAGAGATCAGACATGTAATCTACCCAGACGACCAGTCAATCAACCAGGAAAAGCTATCAACACAAAATGAACTACTGACACAAACATTTTTATATGCAAACACATGCAGCTGGAGTCAGATACAGTGACACTTTAACTGGGAAGGTGTTAGCCTAGAGGAATTTAAACAGGGGAGTGCTTGGTTTCTACAGTGCTACTGTATGTGTGTATTCTGCTTTAGACTTGGTAGAATTTAACAAAATTACTGGCAGAGATAATATGACTTCTACATGACTAGATACTAGATTATATAAGGTTGAAACTCTGTTTAAAACTTTCTGGGAAGTGTACAGAATTTATTATTTATAAGTCAAATGAAAAAATTAGATTGTTCATTTGTTACTGACAGAGATCTGGCAGAGTAAGATTCATAGCTGTGTTTTGACCCTACAAACCTTTCTACTCACTGTAAAAAGTACATTTATTACTATGTCTTGTATTGGGCAAATTTCCCCCTTGCTCCACATTAAGCTCTTTTACATTAAAAGACTGGTATTACTGAGAGCCAGAAGTAGGCTGTCTGGATGAGGATTCAGTAAAGAGTTTTAGGATAGACAAAAAGCTTTTGCAGCCACGCTTAGAACTTTGGGAAATCCATCCATGCGACTTATGCTGTCATTACTGACTTAACACTAATAGTAACACATATCACAACCATGCATGCTTATTTAAGCCATCTGGGCAAAAAGTAGAAAAAAAAAAACTTTAATCGCAAAATGTCATAGCAGCCTATATGCCATTTAATTGTTTATATTCTAATGTTTTGTGTTCATAAAGGCAGTTTGGGGTTGTGTTTAGTTTCATATCATCCCTGTACTCGCAAAACTTAGCCCAACTTTAACTTCAATACCATAAATTATTTTGGTAACAGATAAATAAAGAGCGTGAATTCACTAGAACTGAGAATGTTATATATACCAGTGGTATTTATCCTCAAAACATTCATTAAATTGGCCTAATAATTTTTAATTTACAAGTATGCATCTTTATGTTTAGCTAGGTAAATGTGAAATGATTTTAGCGATTTGCAGAAATGTGAAAGCATACAGGGAAATACAGTATTTAAGGAAAAACAGAATCTTATCCATTTCAACCTTGAAAGTCAATATTTAGTATGACCACATTTATTTTTCAAGGCAGCCAGAACTTTGATGACCTTGTAATGTTTTAAGTAGTGTTGAGAAAAAGTTCTCCAGGCTTCTTAAAGGACACTGCAAAGCTCTTCTTTGGATGTTGGCTGCCTTTTGTTTTATTATCAGTTAATATGAATCCACAAACTTTTCAACTTGGATTCATTCATAACTTCATAAAACCTGTTGCCACTGAAACACAGATAGCTCAAACAAACGAATTTGGTATGTAGAAATGTGTTGAGATGGGTGGGCTATAACTATCTGACGCTCAAACACAGTATGACAGTATCCTGTGAGTCAACTGGTAAAAAAGATAATTAAATGGAGAACAATAACAGAAATTAACCAGCATGCTAACATATTAGCAATATGTTAGCATGCTGATGGGCAAATTTGTAGGTTGTAGCTAAAAAAAAAAAGCTTGCCAAAAAATACTTTTTGAGATTGCATTTCAGCAACTGTAATATGTCTTTTCCTCCCTACAAGTACAACCAAAACCCACTTCAATGTGACTGATATCTAGAACTGTTTATAGCGATAAAGCAAGCAAACGGGAAAGGTGTAAGTTCTGCTTTTCTGAGAAAGTCTAATCAGACATAAAACAAATCTTGTGCTCAGCCCCTTGTTCACCTCACCACAGTGAATCATCAGATTTCTTCTCTGAAGTATTTTTCTACAACCTCCTAAACAATGTTTATATAAGCCCTTGCCTATCAATTAAAAACACACCAACAAAGGATTCTGGCTGAAATATATGACATCAAGTCCTTTTCTGCTGGTTTTTTTTTCCTATTAATGCATTGAAAGCAAAAAGTATCACACGATGAAGAGTGAGAGACAAGATTCTTCAGGTGACAGCAAACGAACCCTCATTCGGACCATGCATCTCACCAAGTGTGACTTTGGGGAGCTGTTTGACAAGGAGTGGCTTGTTGTACAAATACTCAGCCTCAGCTCATATGCCAGGATGTTTGGGGTTTTATTACATTTTTGCAGCAGAAGGATTTCAATATCAGGATATCAATGATTTATCATCTAGATACAGCAGAAACAAACAAATAGATGGCTTCTATGATTTCGTGTAACACGGCAAACTGTCAAATTTCTCCTGCATGAAAGAAACTTGTTTGCTTATGTAGGTGGTTGGTGTCCCAGCGAGCACCTTAGTATAAAATGTAAAATCTGTCAATAATAATAATGCATGCTCTGCACACTCAAAGAAACATCCTCACTGATATGATTAAGTACACAAATGTTATTTTCATTTCATCACCATATCTGTGATTCACAAAATTACCATGTTCTGTCAGCATAAACACTTCTTGAATATTTGTGCCTGTGTTTGCATATTAAGTGAGGAAATAAAGTGCTTTGTCTGCATTTTTAAGGCGATCATAAAAAGAGAAATGCTTCACAGTGAATGCAGCTTTACGAAAAAGCTTGTTTAACTTCCCACTCCTTGTAGGTCACCATCATAAGCAAGACAATGAAGTCGATGCTACATACGTCTTAGACTCGTTTGCTAACGATCCATCTCTAGGACAATGGAGCTTAATTACGTCCTCTAATGACTTCACACACAAAGGCTAATGGCCAACATAGATAACAGATCTGTCATTACCACTGCATATATCTTGGTTGGAAGCTTCCTTGTAAGGACACTCGCCAAATTTATCTGGGTCCTACAGCGAGAATGACTAATAGGTGTGTTTAAAATCCACTTTTTACCAAATTTAATTATTGACAAACTGAGAGTCAGCAAAAATATTTTAAATTCAAGACAATAATCTGTGACATTTTTTTCTTAGAAGAGTCTAAAATGAGCAAATCTTGAAATAATCAAAT